GAGGAGGAGGCGGCCCAGGCGCGCGCGGGGCCGCCGGGGAGCCCGGGCCGCCGCCTTCGGGACCTGCTGGACGACCCGCGCCCGGGGCCGGCCGGCAAGCTCTTCGCCTGCGTATCCGTCGCCTTCGTGGCCGCCACGGCCGTCGGCCTGTGCCTGAGCACCATGCCGGACATCCGCGCGGAGGAGGAGCGGGTGAGCGCGGGCGGGGGCGCGGGGGGGCGGCCTGGGGAGGGGGGGGACCCGGTGGCGGTGGTGGCGGCGGGGGAGGTTGGGGCCAGCCGGGGTGGGGGAGGGGGCTGGAGGCAGCCGGGCCAAGGGAGAGCCAGCCGAGCCATGGTCCGTGACACGCCTCCCCCGCTGGGTGGTTGGCGCCTGCAGGTGCCAGACGCCCCCCTGCTCCGGTTAAGGGCACCCCGAGTGGGCCTTCTCCAGGAGGCCCCCACATCGGACCGGCTGCCGTGCCCTGACTAGACAGTTTCGAGAACCCAGTGAGAGGCCTCTCTCTGGTCAGCAGGCCTTCCCTGAACCTCTCCAACAGTCGGGCCTTCAAAGCCTGGACAACTTGGAGCTAAAACGTTCAGTGTCCTGAAGGTCTAGGGAGTTGTGTGCTCTGATCCCAAGTCCCGTCATCTCGAAGCAAGGGGACGGGACCGCCACATTCTTGCGGGTCACGGGAGCCAGGGACGGGCGTCTGCTGAGGCAGACCCAGTCTGCCGGTCTGTTGAGGTGCCGGGGGCTGTCTCCCAGCAAATGGTAGACTTCCCGCCCCTCTTTGGTCTGTGACAATGTCAGCACCCAGCTCGTGTGGCCAGAAATGTTGCTTCCGGGTTAGGATGTCGCCACGCTCACCAGCGTTTGTGCACTGAGTGCACCGTGGAAGGTTCAGGGAACATTCGGGGAAAGCCTGGAGTGTGCTATCTGGGGCGAGAGGGATGGAAGGCGAGAGGACACCGCAGTGTTTGCAGGACGGAGCCCAGCGCAGCCTTTCCTCCTGGGGGGTGGGGATGACCCCTCAGCAGTCCCCCTGCCCCGCCCTCCAGGCGCAGCACAGAGGCTCTGACTGAATGAACCCCTTTCCTGGGCAGAGAGCTCACCGTCAAAGCTTAGAGCCCTTCAGAGGTCAGGAGGTCGTGCCTGGAACACATCTGGTGGGGTCAGCTCCTTACCGAGAGACACGGTGGAGAGCTGAAACATTAGGCATTAGCCGGCTGGACCGAGAGCAGGGCGACCCTGACCACAGATCGCGTGTAAATGTAACTGTCGGGAAATTGGTTTGGCTCCCGTGGCTGTTTGGGCGTCCGATTCCTGAGCCGTGGCTCCCGGTTGTGCTTAGGTTTTTCTAAATGGCGGTAACGCCATACAGCACATAGGAGGGGAGCCATTTATGTGAGAGTCAGGACACAAGGGAAGTTGGAGGTGCCTCAGTTTGTGACATCATCCCAGGAGTCGAGCTGGCCCTCTCAGAGCAACCACTGGCCTCCATGTTACCCACTGTTCATATTCGCCAGCCCCCCTCCCCATTTCCTGAAACGTCACTTCATACCGCCCAGGTCCTGTTTTACCAAATCAGTTATCGGACTGCGGGGTAATAATCCAGTGTCGGTGAGCACGTGGTGACGTATGTCTGTGCGCTCCCCGTTGCCTCGTGAGGGACGCCGACGGAGCATCTGGCCCGCTGCACGTGGCAGGTGCTGAATAAACAGCAGGTGCTGTCGCTCGTCACCTTTCTAGGTGTGATGAGATATACACAAAATGTACCAATATCTTAACCATTTTAAAGTATGCTGCCCGGTGGTATTAAATACATTCACACCGTGTGGTTGTCACCACCACCCATACCCAGGACTTTTTCTCCTTTCCAAACCGCAACTCTGTCCAGTTAAACATGAGCTCCCCACTGGGCGCCCTCCCCCGGCTCCTGGAATCCTCCATCTGCCATGTCTCTAGGACTGAGACTCCTCTGAGAGCCTCACATAAGCGGAATCTGACGGCATTTATGTTTTGGGGACTGACATCTCACTGAGCGTATTGTCCTTAAGGTTATTCCGTGTCGTAGCAGGTGTCTATGCTTTCTTCCTTTTTAAGGCTGAATAACGTTTCGGTGGTACACGTACACCACTTCTGCTTATTTGCTCGTCTCAGTGGACATGTGGGTTGGTTCCACCTTTGGGCCACGGCGCATTATACTGCCGTGGACGTTCACGTAAAAACATCTGCCTGAGTCCTTGCTCTTGGTCATTTTGGGTAGACACCCAGGAGTACAACCGCCGGACCATAAGGTCATTCTACGTGTACTTTTCCGGGGAGCCTCCAGACTGTTTTCTGCCGTGGCTGTACCACCGACTCTGTCCAGGCACAAGGCAGACGGGGTGGAGGGCGGAGAGGAAGAGAGAAACTTGGGAGCCTTTGATTATTTTTTTGTTGGTCTTTTCCAGTAGAATTTAACTTGAAAGTTACAGGGTTAAAATATTCCGTGTGTGATCTCTGGTTCTAAACAAGTGGCTAAGAGATTTCTTTCTAAAGTGGAAGCACTGTTCTGAAGCTCCCAGTGAGCCCTCCGAGGCCGGGTCGGCAGGCCCGTGGGCCACCGGCTCTGATGTGCGTGGGCCACAGAACTGCTTCTCCTGAACCACATTCGAGTGGACGATCTGGCCACAGGCACCCAGTGTCTTCTGGAAAACCGCGCTGGGGGAGCAGGGCGTGGCCTGGAGAAGCAGAGGTGAGTGCAAGTGCTTCCCATCAGCCGTCTCCTCTCCGGAAGTGCCAGCATCAGTGGTCGTTTTCGTGTATTGGCCCGGAGAAGCACGGAGGAGAGAAAACATCGTTCCCCGGGATTAAAGGGCTTGCAGGAGAACAGCTGTGTGGTTCCCAGGGCTGGTCCCTAAAATGCCTCTGTGACTGAGCGAGTGCCCTTGCCAGGGGTCCCAGCCCTCAGCTCCGGGGAGGCCGTCTCCGTCCACGTCTGTCTCGGCCCCACACGGGATCCTCCTGTGGGCATCACGGGATCACTAACTGCCACACAGAAACCCCTTCCCTGAGGCGGACTGGGGCTCTGCGGCCGGCCGAGTGACCCAGCTGCCGGGGAGGGGCGGGACTCTGCGGCCCGGAGGGGGCGGGGCGGGGGCGGGCAGCTGGCCGAACCTGTGCCTGTACTTGACGCCCCTGAGCCGTGCACTTAAAAGGCCTGAGGTGGTAAATGTCACGCTTCGCATATTTTACGCATACACACGCATAAAGTCATCTGCTCGCCTGTGTGGGTGGGAGAACGTAGCAGAGACCCCGGGGCCTTGGCCAGGGCTCGCCCTTTGCCCCGGTTGTCTGTCCACCCGTCCCCGCGTCCACCCCTGTGCTGGGGGTGCTTGTCAGCTTGGCGTGAGGCTGAGGGCGTAAAGGTGCCTCCCCACACGCTGGGGAAAGCCAAGCACCTGGAGACCCGAGCTGCACTATGGCCGGGGTCACCTGGTGCCACAGCTGCCCTGGCTCAGCGGAGGTCCCGGGGTCTCCTGCTCTCCGGTCCCGTCTGGAGTCCCTTCACTCACCCTGGGGCACACGATGTTCTGGAACTAGCTGCTGCCATCGGGTGGGTGGGGCCTGGGGCAACACAGAAGCCAGGCTCTTCTGCCCAGGGCCACGGGCCCCACTTCCTAACACACCAAGGACCCGGGCCGGGAAGCGTCCCTCCCCCACTCAGCTCTCCCACCGCAGTGACAGTGAGTTCTGGGGGCCTTGGTGAGCTTAGAGGGACTTCCCCAGCAGGCAGCCCCTCAGGGCTGCTCCCAAAAGGCCAGAGAAGACGCACAGCCCCCTCCCAGCTCATCCCTGCCTCCTGCTCCTTCCCTCTAAGATGAGGAGGGCCAGGGGGGCCCAGAACTATTCCCCCACCTCGGTGGCCCGTGACCGTCCAGATGCTGGCATAGAAGCACCAGCACCCCGGTGTCCAGAGGACCCCAGGTCAGGCCGAGCAGCAGGTGGGGACTGGGCCAGGCCACAGTGCTGGCCCCATATGACCCCAGGGCGAGAAGTGCAGCCAGGGGACCCTAGGGCCCCTCCTATGGCTGGACTCACCCTCAGGGCTTAGCCCGAGGCGCCAAACCCTGCCGTTCCGAGGGCGACAGTGCGCGTGGTCAGGCCCAGTTAGTGGGTGCTGCTCATGGAGAGCACCTCGTATCTGACTCTGGCTGCATCGCGGGTCACTGCGTGTGCTCCCTGTGGCCTGAAACAAAGTGCCACAGACTGCCTGGTGGCAACGCCCGCGCGGCTCCCCCCAGTCCTGGCCCCCCAGCCCGCCGGACTCAGACCGCTTGGGGTGGGCTGGGCCAGCCTCCGGGGGCTCCGGGACGGCCCCGGCCTCCCCCTGCAGCTTGCAAGGCAGGTGTGCTCCTGCTCGGTGGCCTCTGCCCCCTTTGTGTTCTCCTTCCTCAGGCCTCCGGCTCGTGAGGACCCTGGATGACATCGGACCCCTAATCCAGGACTGTGCCCAGGGGACGGTAAACGCCGCTGTGAGCTGCTGCCTCAGGCTGCTTGTGCTGTGTTCACAATCTCCGCTGAGCAGACGGGCGAGAGCTCCTCCTCCAGTAACGAACCCCCCCTCCTGGGAGGGCGTCTGGGCCTGAAAACCATGAAAAGTGGTAGCTGGGCCCGTGGCGTCAGACCTGCACCCTGCAGAGTCTGCGGGGGGAGGCAAGGGTGAACCTGTACTGAGTGAAGACCTTACCGTCGGGCACGTGTGTCTGTAATGGGAAGTCAGCCGCCTAGAGCGCTGTGGACCACACCCCAACCCTAACTCATCCGTGGGCCGGGCGCCATGTGTCACCGACAGCTCTTTGAGGCATGCTTCCTCATTTCAGGGGCCTCTCCGAGCACACCCCGCCCCTTCCCCACTGCACCCCGCAACCCCCCGGCCAAATAGCAGCCCCCAGGGCCACGGCCGCCGGCTTCTTGGCCCCCACCTGCAGGACCTACCCTGCCGGGCCCCAGAAGGTCTGCAGCTCAGAGCTGGCCCCCCCTCCCGTGGCTCCCGCCAACAGCGGGGCTCACTCCCCAGCACCTGGTCCACGGGCAGCTGTGGAGTCCCAGGACGAAAGGCTTGGTGGCATCCTGAATTCAAAACTCGTGGCCAGGTCTTGGGGCAATCTGCCCGGTGGTTCCACCTTGTGCGCAGAGACCAACATTGGTAATATAAACATCCGTGG